TATGACAGCAGTGTGCATCGGACTAAGAGCCTCTGAAGAAGTGCGTGCGCACGAAACGCGTCAGAGGGCCATGACATTAAGCCACGGAGCCACGTGGAGGCCCGGCGGCCATCTTTCTTTCTGGACGGTAAGGCTGCGAAAAAGTCTCACATGTGGTATTGCCATACTCAGGAGGAGTAGCAGAATTTAGTTGCAATTATGCCTATGCCGTGTGTGAGAAAACTTGTTAAATGAAATTTTTGTGAAAGAAAAAAAAAATTCATTTAATTTTTTTCATTTTTCAAAGAATTGTGGAAAAAAATTACAATTTCAAAAAACTTGCCATGACTCTTACTAAATATTTTGGACTGTCTACTTTCCAAAAAGGAGTAATTTGGGAGGTATTTGTACTGTCCTGGCATGTTAGGGCCTTAAGAATTAATATGCCATCTGTAAATCAGGTGTGTACAATTCAATAATTGGTACCATCGTTTGTAGACTCTATAACGATCTCGCCGACCAAATAATATACACTGATTTGGGTAATGTTTACCAAGGAAACGTGGCAGTATAAATTTTGATTAAAATTTATGAAGAAAAATTTCTTATTTGCAAAATTTTATAACAGAAACAAAGAAAAACAGACTTTTGAAATGTGTGGTCTGTTTGGTTTTTTTTACGTAAAAAAATTAAAAACCCAGTGGTGATTAAATACCACCAAAAGAAAGCTCTATAGGTCTCAAAAAATGATAAAAATGGTTGCACGACTGAGTAATTATCATTCAAAGTGCAAGTCCTGAAAGCTGAAAATTGGCCTGGACAGGAAGGAGGTGAAAGTACCCATTATTGAGGTGGGTTAATGACAAGTAAGAAGGGGAGGAGGCAGTGGAGGCAAATATTGCACTCTGCTGCACAGTGTACAGAGACAAGTACTCTGCCTGTCTCTTCACTCTAACTTAGATTAGGTCTCGGTTATCTCCAGTTTTTATTATCTATAAACTGGAGGTATTTTAAAATTTGATGCATTAATAGTGCCACTTTTAAAAGTGGAGTTCAGAACTACCTGGACTGTGTTGGTATAGTTATAAAAACAGGTGTCAGGGATATTTTAAATCAGGTAACCTTTTAAAGGGCCGTAGTACCAGAAACGTACCACTGACTGTCAGCAGCAATACCAACACCCAATATCCCACTTTTTTCCTTGCATATACATTCACAAGCCATTGTATTAGGTACACCTGTTCAATTGCTTAGTAACAAAAATTGCTAATCAACCAATCACATGGCAGCAACTCAATGCATTTAGGCATCTAGACATGGTGAAGATGACTTGCTGAAGCTAGAAGAAAGAGGATTTTAAGTGACTTTGCTTTGAACATGGCATGGTTGTTGGTGCCACACGGGCTGGTCTGAGGAGTATTTAAAAAACTGCTGATCTACTGGGATTTTCACACACAGCCATCTCTAGGGTTTACAGAGAATGGCACGAAAAAAAATATCCAGTGAGCTGCAGTTGATGACAAAAATGTCTTGTTGATATCAGAGGTCAGAGTAGAAAAGGCAGACTGGTTCTGAGATGATAGAAAGGCAACAGTAACTCATGTTAATATGGACCAAAAACTGTGAGGAATGTTTCCAACACCTTGTTGAATCTATGCCATGAAGAATTAAAGCAGTTCTAAAGGCAAAAGAGGGTTCAACCAGGAACTAGTAAGGTGTACCTAATAAAGTGGCTGGTGAGTGTACATTGAAATTATATTTCAGGCTTCTCTGGAGTAAAGTAGGTCTGGGAAATTGCTTACAACAACCCTGCAGACTTTCTTTTTAGCATCATACTACTTGAACTTGGACACCTTTATCATCTGTATTGATTAAAAACATTACACATGTTATATCCAACTACTACACGTAAGGGACTCAATTTAGTGTGAATTAGCTGAATACTATGGCGTATTATACAAATGTGACTTTTTTTTTTAAAATAGTGTTACATTTAAAACCCATAAGCGATTTAATATGTATTTCCAGTAATGAAAAACAAACAACTTGGCTAATATACCCTCCTCCCTCTGCCTTTCCATTACCTGTGGTTTGAGACATAAAACATTGTTCTGTTTGCATTCAACTTTTATGAACCTGTGCTGTATCTGCAGACAACAACTAAAAACAAGAAATGCAAATCCTTCACAAACCTGTTTGATTCAATTCTTCATTACCAGCCATCGTAAATTATGACTGCAATAATGCACTCCTGTAATCAGCGGAGATCACAGTCAACTGTTACATAGGTTTAGTTAAGTCCTGTCTATTCCTCCAATTTTATTTGAGTCCAGACAGCCAAATGATGGTAAGCAGAATACACATCTAAGGAGATCCCTGTTGTTACTTTATTCTTAGTGCTGGTTTGGTGTCACATGTAGTCTCTACTCTGTAGCTCAATTCATGCAGGGGTGGCTTGCTTCTAGCAGCTTGTGATCTTCAGGTTGCTCTGTGTGCTACATAGAATCCATCACGGATGACTTCTGACAGTGAAAACAAACTAATAACACAGGTATAAGGAACAGATGCCTTCTTTGTTAGCACTCTTTGTCTATACTAACAGTGCAGATGCTAACAAGAGGAGTACAAACAAAACAATATTTATATTGTCCTGTACCTGTTATGACAGCCCTGAACAAAAAGAGGACATCATTTTTCATTTTACCCACTTGAGTCCCAAAGATTATTTCTCTCTAAATCCCCTGGAATCCCAGAGTGTTTTTTAATTTTTTTTGTGAAATGTCTCCATTCCACGTTATAGCTTTTAGGTTTTATTATCTACCCTAATGAATTTTACATTAGTTAAATTGGTCTACACTACTGAAACTACAGGAAAAAAAGTTTTTTCTTACTTGTGGTGTGTATATACAAGTTACTCTACCTCTAATGATGCTTAGCCCAGGTACAGGTCGCTGCTGAGTTGTGAAAAAAATCATTGTTTCATTCATAAAACTAGCATTTTACTTTCAGCACTGGGACTGAGATCTGTGGCTTTCATACACAGGAGGCATACTGTCATTTATCTCCCCTTCCTCTCCATTTATCCAATCACAGTACACCTTGTATTCTGTGGATGGCTTCACAGCATCATTAGGAGGTAACTAGTTTGTACACACAAGTCATGAAAGATGTTTCACTTTAATTTGGTAGCAAGTTTGGATACAAATATTTACTTTTTTACCCATGGTGATTGGAGTTGATTAACACAACCCTGGACTATACAATCCACATGCAAGATTATATCGGACTTATGATATTAATTTACTACTAATTACTTTACTAATGGTTCAAGCTTGTCTCAGGACTTTGTCACTTTTTTTTTTTTTTGTAGCGCTGCACTCCCTTATTGATAGAGTATTATTATAGAGTATTTATAAAGCGCCAAAGGGTTTGCTCAGCGCTGTACATTAGAATGGGGGACAAGACATGAGACAATACAGTAGCAAAACAATACACATTACACGAGGGTTAGAGGGTATATAAAAAAATGTAGGGCAAAAAATATTGATGAAAACAATATGTTGTGCACGAATTAGCATGTATATAGGGCTGTGCTTTAACAAAAAAATTGCACAGATTTCCCCACAAGTCACTGCAGTCCTTGCGACCACTATGGCAGGACCCAAAAAAAGTGCACTGTAAACATAAATAATTAAAACGTGGAATAATACCAAGAAGGCTACGATAAAACATTATATGAGAAATAAATTATACTCAAAAGATAATTAAAACAAAGCATGTATTTCTATTTCATAGTTTAAGCCTCCTGGCACAAGGGTACCTAAAGTATAGATCCAAAATGTCTCCCGTTGGCACAAACGTTTATAGCGTTTGGCTGAAGAGAGAGAACTGGATATGGATTCGATCACCCATATGAACAGCCCAGATGTAGATTTGTGATGCTGTTCCAGTAAGTGTCTGGGGACGCTATGCTGATAGTCACCATCCTCAATGTGGTGTCTGTGGTCCCCAAATAGCTTTCTCAGGGTTCTTATAGTCTGGCCTACATAGAATAGGCCGCAAGGGCAAGTGAGGCAATAAACAATATATGTTGTGATGTGCAATTGTGAAAATCAGGAATTCTATAGTTTTTTACCTTTTACTGTAAAATTGGTTTGGCACTGTTGAACGTATAGGCATGTAAGTCATAATTTTTTCGTACATTTGTACATTCCCTTGATGTCTAAGAATGAAGCTGATATTTCCCAAATTTTAGATCTATTTTTCAGTTTGCTTGGAGTTATTTTACTTCCAATGTTTTGGCCTTTCTATAAGATATTCTTGGGGAGGGCGCAAGGGAGGACTGTAAAAAAGGATCTTCCAGCAAGATGGCCCAGTGTTTATGTAGCATTTTTTCCATCTTCCTATGTAGAGCATGGTATTGGGTAGTAAACCTAAATAGGTTGTGTAGAATTGGAGGAAGTTTGTAATTTAGGGTGTTTTTGTTGGTAATAAGCAAATACGTCCTGAACTAAAGCAGTAGCAAAGCCTTTGTCTAAAACTTCTCTTAGCTTTACCCCATGTAGTAGGTAATCCTCTTCACAGGTGCAGTTATTGTGTAACCTGCAAAATTGGCTTTTGGGAATATTCATGATCCATGTAGGGTGTTGGTAACTGCTGTAATGAAGGTATGAGTTACCGGAAGTGGGTTTGACATAATTGCTGGTATAGAACAAAGTGTCATCATGACGTAATTCTAAATCCAAAAATGCTAGTATATGATGGTTGTGAACATAAGTGAATGATAGACCTAGATGGTTGTTATTGCAATTAGAGATGAGCAAAGTATTCAAAAATTCGATTCGGCTGATTCGGCGAATTCGCAGAATAAATTCGATTCGAGTCGAATTTATTCGCTGCGAATTTAACTTATAAAAAGGGTGTTTCTAGGCTTCAGAGAGCCTTTATATTAGTGCAGAACACTGTACCTTTAATTTAAATGCCCTTGGAGTCTGCTGGGGAAGAGAAATAATACGGTCAGTCAGTATGACATGCAGATGAGTGCCGTCGATCTTAGAATCACCGCACACTTCACTCATTTGGGCAGTCACGGGGCCAAAACCAGAGTGTGGAGCCACAGTGTGGCGGTGGAGGCAGCAGCAATGGGAGGCCATACAGCACCCTATGACAAAATGGAACCCACCAGCAGTGTGAGGAGACCTGAAAGTGGCACATGGCAGAGTGTGGCGATGGAGACAGCAGCAATGGGAGGCCGTACAGGGACCCATGAGACACTCTGGACCTGGCAGCAGCATGAGGAGGCGGTACAGGGGCCCATGACAGATTACGGGCCTGGCAGCAGCATGAGGAGTCGGTACGGGGGCCCATGGCAGATTACGGGCCTGGCAGCAGCAATGGGAGGCCCGTAATCTGCCAGCACCCTATGACAAAATGGAACCCACCAGCAGTGTGAGGAGACCTGAAAGTGGCACATGGCAGTGTGGCGATGGAGACAGCAGCAATGGGAGGCCGTACAGGGACCCATGACACACTCTGGACCTGGCAGCAGCATGAGGAGGCGGTACGGGGGCCCATGGCAGATTACGGGCCTGGCAGCAGCAATGGGAGGCCCGTAATCTGCCAGCACCCTATGACAAAATGGAACCCACCAGCAGTGTGAGGAGACCTGAAAGTGGCACATGGCAGAGTGTGGCGATGGAGACAGCAGCAATGGGAGGCCGTACAGGGACCCATGACAGATTACGGGCCTGGCAGCAGCATGAGGAGGCGGTACAGGGGCCCATGGCAGATTACAGGCCTGGCAGCAGCAATGGGAGGCCCGTAATCTGCCAGCACCCTATGACAAAATGGAACCCACCAGCAGTGTGAGGAGACCTGAAAGTGGCACATGACAGTGTGGCGATGGAGACATGGGCCCCCTGGCCACGCTTGACTTTCTGGCCACATAGTCGACATACGGCTACGTTTACTTCCTCGGGCGGCTTGATGAAAAATTGCCACACCGCCGAGTAGGAAACTTTGCCCCCGCTACTCCTCACTGGCTGACTGCTACTTCCTCCGTGCACACCGGCACCACTACTGGCCGTGGTGGTAGGCTGCAGTGGAGCTGGTGCTCTACTCCGTGGCCGTTTGCCTCCACTGACACTGCTGCGACCCTGCTGCCTCCTGGGCAACCCACCGACTGTTTTGCTCGCTGCCAAGCTGGCACCCTCTTCTCCTGATGATGCGGAAGCAATAGCCTGATGACGACAAGGCTGCCAACTGCGATCAGCCTCATCATCATCAATTAGGGTCTCCGCCTCACTACTAGCCCCCTCGGCTGCGTGTGGGTCAGGAGACAGACCCGTCTCTAGACCGGCTACCGAGCCACTCTCCTCGCCACTACTTCTTCGCCTGGCTGCTGAAGAGGCGGATGTCTCCCCCCGTTCCTGACCGCCCTCTGTTAGCTCTTCCTCACTGTACAGTGGGGCTGAGCCCACAGCATGCGATACTTCGCTTGGTGAGGGAACACCAAAGGACAGGGGCAGGTAGAGGACACGTGATTTCAGTGGGCTTGCTCCCGGGCCATGCCAACTAACGGTTGTGTCTGACGTACCCACCGACCGTTGGCTGTAGGTGTCAGAGGTGACCTGGGAAGAGGAAGACGACCGAGCCAACCAATCGATGACGGCAGGGTTGTCGGTGGAGACACGACCGTTGGATGACACCGGGAGCACTGGCCTCTGGCTGCGACTAGTGCTGCCTCGACCCCTTCCTCTGCTGCCACGTCTGCTCGCTCCTGAAACATTGCCTCCTCTGCCACTCCTCTGCGTGTTGTCTGACATACTCTTTAATTTAACGATTCTGTGTCCCTGAGTAACGATTCTGTGTCCCTGAGTAACGATTCTGTGTCCCCGAGTAACGATTCTGTGTCCCCGAGTAACAATTCTGTGTCCCCGAGTAACAATTCTGTGTCCCCGAGTAAACAATTCTGTGTGTCCCCGAGTAACAATTCTGTGTCCCCGAGTAACAATTCTGTGTCCCTGAGTAACAATTCTGTGTCCCTCAGTAACAATTCTGTGTCCCTCAGTCTGTGTCTGTCCCCGAGTAACAATTCTGTGTCCCTCAGTAACAATTCTGTGTCCCTCAGTAACAATTCTGTGTCCCTCAGTAACAATTCTGTGTCCCTCAGTAACAATTCTGTGTCCCTCAGTAACAATTCTGTGTCCCTCAGTAACAATTCTGTGTCCCTCAGTAACAATTCTGTGTCCCTCAGTAACAATTCTGTGTCTGTCCCCGAGTAACAATTCTGTGTCCCTCAGTAACAATTCTGTGTCCCTAAGTAACGATTCTGTGTCCCTAAGTAACGATTCTGTGCCCTAAGTAACGATTCTGTGGCCTAAGTAACGCCCTAAAGTCTCTCTGGCCCTAACTCTGTCCCTAATACAGACAGGTCTGTCTCTCTTGAATGACCGGAGGCTAATGGAGAATTGTAAGATGGCCGCAATTTATAGCTCCACCATTACACAGTGCTGGCTGGCTGCTGATTGGCTAATGCGATCACATGTCATGAATGAATGCATTATGGGTCAGCGCGCCTTGTCTGCGCGCCTTCCCAGAGATCCCCGCTCCGTCACCACACATGTCGCCGCCATTTTTGGGAAAATTCAATTCGTGCATCCGAAGTTGGCTAATTTTCGGATTCGGCGCGAATCGAATATTTCCCAATATTCGAAACGAATTCCACTTCGCCATGTTCGATTCGCTCATCTCTAATTGCAATAATTAACAAAAGCATTTATGGCACTATCATGGTCGTACCAAATGATGACTGTCATCTATATATCTACCATAGAATATAATGTGGGACACAAATTGGTTATTCTTCCAGACGCATTGGGAATCCCAATAGCCCATGGTCAAGTTGGTGTAGCTGGGGGCAAAATTGGCTCCCATAGCCGAGCCATTAACCTGGTAAAAGGTGTTATCAAAGAGGACGTAGTTGTACTGGAAGCAGAAGGCAGTGGCCTCTACTATAAAATCAGCCTGTCTATGGTTAATTAGAGGATCCTCCAACAGAAAATACTGAATTGTGCGCAGGCCCCCTCAAGAGGTATAGAGGTGTATAAAGAGTTTACACCCTGGAAGAGCCAGGAATGTGTGTGTGCCAAGAATATGATGTTGGCATCTCTGTAAGATGTATCCCATCCCAGATGTACGACGGGAGGTCCTGTGCAAGAGGTTGTAGGAATTGGTCAACATAAATAGAAAATCTATCCATGGCCTCCACAATAGGTCAGCCTGGTGGGCTTTCTAGATTTTTTGGTAGATGGTAAAAGTATGATGTGTGGGAGAATTCTGTCAAGGTCCTACCTTTTCCCAGAGGTTATGTTACTCCATGTGCTGGCATCCATCTTGGATTTATGCTGAGCATGGTGGGAAGCTTTTATGCCTTCAGGTCTCTGAGGTCCATCCCCCAGAGGGGTGTGGCTGAGTACATATAAGCCTGTGATCCGCACATGCTCTTTGCACTTGTGTCTTGTGTCTTGCTACAGCTCTGTGTATACGCTCGTGACTCTTCTGGTATTTGACTCGGCTTGTGACTAGACCATTCTCTGTGTTTTCCTTCGATCTGACCTTCCGTTGCTGAACCTGGCCCGTGACCGGTGATTCTCTGTCTACTGCTCTGTACTGTTTTGTCCCGTTGTTGTTGACCCAGCTTGCCTGACTACGCTATTGTCATTCTCACCAGCTACGTGCCATTGGCGGCGGCCATTACCGCAGCCGGGGTGTCTCGGGGGGCCGCGACCTGGTTCCTGGCTGCGTCAAGTCCATCCCCACCATCAGGGGCCCTGGTGAAGGGCAGCCTGGGACTTAGACTCCGCGCCCTGAGGGACTTCGGTCTGTTGGTGGTGGTTGTCGTCAGCCAGTGCGTTACCCTGCCACTAGGCCTACCTGTCCGTTCCACAGCCCTGCCCTGACATTACACAAGTGCCATGAATCCTGACGGTGCAGGTACGCCTTCACTTCCAATGTTGGTCGCCAGACTGGATCAACAGGATCTCCTGTTGGATCAGTTCGCTCAGGCGTTGCAAACTCTGTTGGCACGCACCGCGTACCTTACTCCTGGTGTTATTAGGCCGGTTGTCACTCCGGTGGTCGCTCCCGCTGCTGTTTCCGCTGGTTGCGCCTACCGCCGCGGCTGCTGCGGTACCTGCGGCGCCCAGAGGTATGACTGGTTCAGCCCCTCTTCCACAGCGCTTTGGGGGTGAGCCAAGTCAGTGTCGTGGTTTCCTCAACCAGGTGGGGATTTCTTCGAATTAATACCCCACGCTTTTCCGACTGAGAGGTCAAAGGTGGGTTTCCTAATATCGCTACTCTCAGACAAGGCCTTGGCCTGGGCGAATCCCTTATGGGAGAGGAATGACCCAGTGATTAACGAGTTTTCCGGTTTTGTCGATGCCTTCCGTAGGGTTTTCGACGTACCGGCTCGCTCTGCCTCGGCTGCCAAGCTGCTCATGTCTATGCATCAGGGTTCACGGACCGTTGCCGAGTACGCCATAGAGTTTTCGTACCCTGGCAGCAGAGGTAGGTTGGGAACAATGAGGCTCTGGTGGCTGCGTTTTCTCAGGGTCTTTCTGATGCATTGAAGGACGAGATCGCAGCCAAGGAATTGCCTGTGGAGCTGGAAGCACTAATTTCCTTCCTGATCCTGATTGATACCAGGCTCAGGGAGAGGCCTTCACTCAAGGAACGCCTGCGGAGGCCTTCCAATCGACTGGCACCTGCGTTTTCTGTCCCACCCATTCCTCCTTCTCCTCCCACGCCTCCTGGGGATAGCTTGTCTGGTGGTGAGCCCATGCAGCTGGGGTTTTCTCGCCTTTCCGAGGGAGAGCGGGCCGCTCGGCGTTAGCAGGGTCGCTGCCTGTACTGTGGTCTTGGTGGGCACTTTCGGCGGTCCTGTCCGGTCCGTCCGGGAAACGCTCGCACCTGAGATCCTGTCGGGGACAGATCTTGGGTGGAGTCTCCTCGTCCCCAGCGTTCCGCAGAGATAAGCCACTGATCACCGTTGTCCTCTCTTTGGCGGAGGGCTCGGTGACGGCCCAGGCGTTGGTAGATTCTGGGGCCGGCGGGTTGTTTATGGACAGCTCGTTTGCTGCCCAGCACTCCATTCCCCTGCAGGCTCGAGTTACCCCATTGGTTCTCGAGGCGATAGATGGCAGGCCCCTGCAACCACCGCAAGTTACCCACGAGACTATGCCAGTTGAAGTAGCTATTGGGGCTGTTCACAGGGAGTTGGCCTGTTTCCAGGTGATTTCTTCTCCGCACTATTCGGTGGTTTTGGGGTATCCCTGGCTCCCGATGCACAATCCAACCTTCAATTGGCAAACTGCCGAGATTCTCTTGTGGTCTCCACAGTGTGGGGCCGGGTGCATCCGTGGGCCGGTTAAGGTGTTGTGTGCCTCCTCGGACTCTGCGTTGCCCACTGATTATGGGGAGTACCAGGACGTGTTTGATAAGGTACGCGCTGGTGCCTTACCTGCTCATCGTCCTTACGACTGCGCCATATCCTTGCAACCCGGTGCCACTCCTCCACGTGGCAGGGTGTATCCTCTCTCGGTTGCGGAGAATAAGGCCATGGAGGAGTACGTTGCGGATGCGCTTTCCCGGGGGCACATTCTTAAGTCCACTTCCCCAGCT